CTTCTATTTCTTTAGCAAACTCAGAAAAAATGCTAGTGGGATTTGAGTGTTTAGTTCTTATCAAACTGTCCCTGGGGAACAGGACTAGTAGATTAAAAAAATGAGTTGTCCTGTAATTCTTCTAAGGAGTTTGGGGACCAGAAGAGGCATACAAGAATGTGACCATCTTGCAGTAAGTGTGGTGAAACCCAGGAAATACTGAATGGCTTAGTATGTACCTGAGTGCCTTTGGGTTCAGAAACTAAGGATCGTATGCTTGGCTGCACAGCTCATGCGCTCTTAAGGACATGTCAAGGTTATGTGAGTTGCAGGCCCTGGCCTCCCTTTGGTTTCTCTGTGATGGCAGATTAAGGTGTATAGGCAGCTCTAGGTAGAAAAGGGTTCATTGATTTATTGATTTTTATCATTCGTAGTATCCTCTGTCTTGTTATGTAAAATAGTTTGACACTTCCCCTGGTGCTTGAAGGAGGGAAAAACCAAAATGTTTTTAAAAGCTGATGGTACTTAAGTGGCCTGAACTTCGTCATAAAGGGTGCTTGGTCAGCACCTTAGTAGACTAGGCTTAGGCAACCTTTCTCGTGGACTGTGGAACAAACTGAGAAATAGGTAGCTGCTTGAACACAGATTCCTCTGTTGGTTTTAGGCCCTAGTGTGAGGTTCTGCCAGATTTTCTGAGGACCAGTTGGGAACACAGAAGCTATGCTGGAGGAGGCTGGCAGGAGCTTCTCTTGTTAACTGAACTCTTGGTTTGGGATTACAAAATGGGATATTGTAAAACGGCCCTTATGAAAGGTCCTGAAGGTTCTGGATAGCTATTTAATTTCTTTCAGGATAGAGAAACACAGGGTAGCAGACTGAATCACTGATTTTAAAATCTGTTCTTAGCTTTACCTTTTCAGGCTTCAAGCAAGAACAGAGCCTGTGGTGAAATAGTTAAGAAAAAATACTCATATTCTGGCTTCGTTATGTTAATATTTTGCTGTACCGGTTGTCTTACTTCTCCTAGCTTTTAGTTTTTCTGAAATGAGATTGTCACAGATCTGACATTTTCCTTCTGCTGTCACAGTGTAAATGAACATACGTGCAGGCTGCTGCTATGTCTGAGGCTTGAGCTATTTAGGAGACTTAGATGTGTTAAACTTTGGTGGATTTAGATACAAGTATATACAATAAGCAGTTGGATGATTACTGCATCTGTTGCATTTGTGTGTGTATGTGTGTGTATATTTGTGTATATAGTAGAGTATTAAATTATGTATAGAAACATCTATCTCTGTATAAAGGAATCTGAACTTGTGGGATCATTTTAAGCTTGGTCATAATTAAAGGTGGGTGTGTCTGAGTAGTCCGCTGTGTGAGCAGAGACACAACAGGTACTTGGTGCCAGTAGTAAACACTAAAACTAGTTTTATGGATCCCTGTAGAGTGTGGGACTCTGTGGTATCCTGCTAGGAAGCTGGAGATTTGTGATATGACCTGGCTACGGAATTAAACTTACCCATCCAAGCTTCGGTCTGGTGTCTTACCAGCTGAAGCATTGATCTCCAAAAGTCTTAAAGTTCAATGAAGTCTTTAAAAGCATCAAGGTAATGTTCACTGACCAACTGTTTCAGGGCTTATTCTAGTCACAATATATTTTCAGTTCTGTGATTTTTCAATTGCTAGAATTTCATTATAGCAAATTTTAGCGCAAAGAAATAGGTAAGCAGAATGCTGTTGTAACAGGAAGTCTTTCTCAAGTGAAAAACTCTCTTTCTATAGGTTTGGGTTTTTCTGTCCTTTTAAAAATTCCAGATACAGCACCTTTGTAAAATGTAGTGACAAATAGTCCTGCTGTCCACTGAAAGACTGGACTCTTGTGCTTCTCCCAGTTTTGTGTTTGCATCTGTTAAAGTTGATGTTAACTGTGCCCTCTCCTGGAAGAGTGTGGTAGGGAGTATTTTAGGTAGTGAACTTACAAAGTCAATGTACTGCCATGTCTGGCCAAGGCAGAGAAAGGTGTCTAAATGTAGATGGAAATTATTGTCGTATTAAGTCTCCATGTTCAGTTAAATGAAGGTCTATAGTTGCAAAGGCTCTGGTACAGAGACTCGAGCCCTTCTGTTTCAAGACTTGTTTCC